AATATGTATGCATATATATAATTATGCATACTCAATATCATATATGTACATATACATAGAATTATATAAATATTAGAAAATAATTGAGATGTTTCATAGTATATTAGGAGATAGATTGTAAAATTGAACACCTTATACTATGAGGGGTACATCAGATTTTCTAAGTGAGATTCAAGTAGTGTGTAATTTCATTTGTTTATTGGCCAAAGACATGAAAATAAGCCAAAACTAGAGATTCACAGACCATTTCAAAAATATGCTTACAACTGCCAATATGTTGGAAGAACCTGTTTTGGAAGTTTCTACATACTTACATCATCATAGAATGTCAATACTTCTGCTATTATTTGTAAATTAAATAGGATTACCTACTTGGGCTATAATTGAAGATTAATGCTGAAATTAACATGACCAAAATTCTTCACTCTTATTAGCTACATCCATGAAAAGAGAAAATAGGAAGAAGTCTTTATATATATTTGTCATAGTGGTTAAAAAATCAAGAAATCAAGTATATATTGTTATTAAGACTCTATGATGAAAGACATAACTCAAACAACCTTAATGGCTAGGAATCTAAATCTACAATGATGACAGACTAAGATAAAAATAATACATTTTATTCTCCCAGACTTTAATGATATATTGATATGCTCATATATTTGAGCATCATTTGACCCTCAACAGAGAACTTCCTTTGGCACTACTTAAGAAATTAACTTGATGGTGTGCGGGGAAGTTCTTTCTATAGAAACTAAGAGCCTGTGTGGTCCTATGTTATGGTGTTTCATGACTTCAAAACCAACATGGAAATTTAATACACGTATATTTTAAAGATGGCAGAAATATTGTAATAGATTTAAATGGAGGCTCTTGATTCTGAAGTACCATTGTTTCCCAGTCTCATCATTACTAGCAGACATACACATATAGAGTCTGAGATGAATGTACAGGAAAAGTTCTGCACTTTTTCAAAACATATAAAACAAGACAAACAATAACAATATATCTGTTGTGTTAATTATTTTCAAGGGAAGTTTGTAATACCTCAGTGCCATCATCAAGAAACATTGGATTTCCAAAAAGCTCATGCTGTTTGATTTCCTATTTAGGAATAGGGGAAAAGTGAGAAAGTATCATGTACAAGAGTATTTATATGCAAATACACAAAGACAATGTCAGTCAAAACAGCAAATATGCAACTGTAAGAACCTTAAAAGCAATAGAATGATAAGAAGTAGGTTTCCTCTTCTATACCTTATTCTAATTCCGAGTCTTTGGTAACAAGTAGGGTAGTGCATTAATATGTTACTACATAACATTATCAGTGATTCTGTTTTCATGAAAAAAAAAAACCTGCAGTGTCTAACCAATTTTCACAAAGAAATTCAGAGAAAAGAGGAAAGGGCATGACTCCCATTGACACTGTCATATACTAAAACATCAAGGGAATTATTTCTTTGCAGCTGCTGCAGTGTTCACGACAGAGATAGTGGTGCCACAACTTTAAAGAGAAGGAGAGGTTTCAGAAGCAGGGATGGACATGATGCACAGACTATAACAGTTGACTCTGAACAGTAATACTAGACTATACCAGTATCTGACTGCTAATTACCCTGTTTTTTTTTTTTTTTTTTTTTTTTTTTTTTTTTTTTTTTTTTTTTTTTT